TGACCTGTCTTTAAACTCTGAATGTTGCAGAATTGTCCAGTTAGTCTTTGGAAGAGCTCTGGAGGCACATGGAGAGGTTCAAACGTCCTCTTGTAGAGGCTGCTAAGCTCCTTCTCTATCTTGATCTAGAATGCAAAACCAAAAGGCATTAGTTAAAAAAGGGTAAGACTGTGCACATGGTTTAGTTGCTACATTTGAAGAACGTCTTTGTCTTTGTTATGTTTAGGCAAGGCAAGAAGTGGTAGATGTGTCACATCTGTCCACAAACGCTGCCTTTGGGAGGGTGACCAAAACCTTATCTAAAATTAGCCAGGCTGGCACACTGGTGTTTTAGGATGCTATTCCATCCAAGTGGCACATTAAATCAGACACAAGGAGTCTTCTGAGGCTTCTGTTGATATAACAGCAACTCGGGGCCAGACTTACACAGGAAGAAAATGAGGTTGCCTGCATTTTTCACACCATATGCGCCATCATTTTGGCCATCTCTCAGGCTCTCCTGAGAGCCCCTTTCACCCCTGAGCTTCTTGGCTTACTTGCAGTGGAAAAGCAGTACTGTGAGTCTTGAAAAACAAGTCCATCATATTGAAACCGCGTGTGATGAGGGAGGAAAAAAACCCAAAACATTGCCAGCTGAACATCCCACACCTAGTAGCCCACCCAAACGCAGGCAGCGGCAATGAGGGAAAGGAAGTTGGCTGAAATACCAAGCCTGGAAGTCTTTCCTGAACAAAGGTAGCAGGGAATGGGACAGCGTCCTGGCCTCCCCGAAAGCAGAGGCAGCCTGAACAAAGCCTGCATATTTGCTGGGAAGAAAACAAGTTAGGACAATAAGCATCAGAAAATGAAAAGATAAAATATACAGAGAACAGAAAATAAGGAAAAGCTAGCAAGAAAAAAGGCAGAAAAAGAAGAAAAGGAGTCACTGCTTCAACAAATAAGAATATTCCAAGTTTACACAATTTTCGAGATTTTTCTGTATTTCAATATAAAAAACAGGAGAGGACAGAAGGTGGCAGCACAGGAGCCTAGGAGTCATTTTTCAGCTGATGGTAGCCAACAGTGGAAATCAAGAAACTTCTGGTTGCCTTTGTGGCTTGAGGAGGTGGCAAATCCAGAATGACCATGGGAGGCCCCAGGCTGTCTGAGGCCCATGAGGACTTCAAACTGTCACTATTCCCAGCCCAGGAGAGCATTTTAGGGTGACAATATTAGTCTTTAGACCCTAAGAGATGTATGTATTTCACATCAAAAATCCTCCCTGAGCTGTTTTTGGTAGAATTACGTGTGTGTGAAATAGTAAATCAAGCATAACAAAAAGTTTTGGAAAAATTGAGAAAGTTTCCTTGTTACATTTCAATTGTAGTTAAATACAGAACAAATTGAGCTGAGGTAGAAACTTTCTAGATTTATGGAACCATGATTGGAGTATTTCACACACAGCCTCAATCACTGATGTGATCCATCCCACATACAGGCCATCAAATGCCACGGGAATCACTCTGGAAGTGACAATCCTGTGGGTTAATCCCACAGAAATGATATACCGTTTGTTATTAAATTGCTAAACAGGAGAGATAAGGTTGCTTATGTGACCTTGCTATTATTACTTCATGACTTCTCAGCATTTATATTTCCACAAAAGGTCAACAAAAGGGTATCCCAATCTTGCAGACTTCATTTTTTAGCCAGACAGCCTCAAACCATGAAAAGCGAAAGCAAGTTTATAAACCTCGAGGACTTTTATGCAGCTTCCATGTGAAACACACACCAATACCTGTTTCCAAGGGCTTAATGTAAAAAATTCCTGTGAGAGCGCTCCTGAGAACTTTCTTTTCCTTAATACACAGCCAAACTTATGGTCAACTTTGTGTACAGCATCTGTGTACATTTGCCACCCACAACTGTACTAAAGCAGTGAGTGTGTGTGATTTTTTGATCCATCCATACATAAGCTTCAATCAAGTGTGAATTACTGCTTCCTGAAAAGATTTATATGGATCTTCTTATTTCATTACTCTGTCAACATTTTGTTACATGTCTCCCTCCTATAAATTAATCTCTGCCCCAGAAATGCTACCAGGACTGAGAAGAGGAGGGCTAGAATAGAAATGTTCAGACAAGATTAACAATAAAGTCACATAATCACAGATTGGTTGAGGTTAGAAGGGACCTCTGGAGGTCATCTTGTCCAACCTCCCTGATCAAGCTTGGTAACCTAGAGCAGGTTGCCCAGAACTATGTCCAGATGGCTTTTCAATATCTGCAACGAGGGAGACTCCATAACCTCCCTGGGCAACCTGGTCTGGGTCTCAGTTACCCTAGCAGTAACAAACTGTTCCCTGATGTTCCGACAGAGCCTCCTGTGCTTCACTTTATGCCCATTGCCTCTGGTTCTGCCACTTGGCACCAATAAAAAAGAGCCTGGCTCTGTCTTCTTCGCACTCTCCCTTCCATTATTTATATACATTGATAAGATCCCCCCCGAGCCTCCTCTTCTCTAGGCTAAACAGTCCCAGCTCTCTCTGCCTTTCCTCATATGAGAAATAATCCTGTCCCTCAATCATCTTTGTGGTCCTTCGTTGGGCTCTCTCCAGTATGTCCATGTCTCTGTTGTACTAGGGAGCCCAGAACTGGACCCAGTATGCCAGATGTGTCTCACCAGTGCCGAGGAGAGGGGAAGGATCACCCCCACCTTGACCTGCTGGCAATGCTCTTCCTAAATGCAGCCCAGGATACTGTTGCCCCTCTTTGCTGCAAGGGCCTATTGCTGGCTCACGTTCAACCTGGTGTCCACCAGGACCCCCAGGCCCTTTTCTGCAAAGATTTTTACCAGCTGGTCATCCCTCAGCATACATTGGTGCATGGGGTTGTTTCTTTCTCCCCAGGTGCAGGACTTTGCACTTCTTGTTGAACTTCATGAGGTTCCCGCTAGCCCATTTCTTCAGACTGCCAATGTCCCTCCAGTTGGCTGCCCAACCTTCTGGTCTATCAGCCACTCCTCCCAGTTTTGTGTCATCAGTACACTCTGCCCCATCATCCAGATCATTAATGATGATATCAAGCAGCACTGGGCCCAGTTTTGACTCCTAGGTTACACCACTAGTGTACACACCGTACACTAGTTCAGTGTGCACAGTGCACACCTCCAAAAAGACTTCACACCCCTGACTGCCAGCCTCAGCCCAGCTGTTCAGCCAGTTTTCAGTCCATGTCACTGTCTGCTCATCCAGCCCATACTTCCAAGGGTTTCTCTATGAGGAGTTCATGGAAGACAGTGTCGAAAGCCTTACTAAAGTTAATGTAGAAAACATCCACCGCACTCCCCTCATCCACCTAGCCAATCATTCCATTGTAGAGTGTGATCAGGTTGGTTAAACATGACTTCCCCTTGGTGAATCCATGCTGACTGCTTCCGATCACCTTCTTGTCTTCACTTGCCTGGAAATGGTTTCCAGGATTAGCTGTTCTGTCACCTTTTCAGGGATCAAGGTGAGGCTGACTAGCCTGCAGTTCCTTCAATCCTACTTCTTACCCTTTTTGAAGAAAGCAGTGGCATCTGCTTTCCTCCAGTCCTCAGGCACTTCTCCCAGTCACCATGATTGTTCAAAGATTATCAAGAGTGACCTGACAGTAATGTCAGCCAGGTCCCTCAGCATTCATGAGTGCATGCCATCAGGGCTCATGGACTTACATATGTCCGTTATGTCACCTGACCTCAAGTTACACTGGTTTCACGCTTAATCAATTACTAATTACATCTTCCACCAGCGACTACATGTTCCTTATGCAACAGTCTTTTAACGCCTTAGAGGACACCTACATGGACAAAGCAAAGGTTAAATTTAAACAAAACAAGAAAGTAAACTTAAACTAGCAAGAGAAATTGCGTCAGGAATTGCCCTGAACTGTTTGATTTCAAAATATGTTCCATATACCTGTGAAGTTAGATGACAATTTGTTTTGTCGACAGGTTCTCCCTCGTTTTTAATAGCCGTACCAATTTAATTTGCACCTCTTTCTATACATGACCACTGCAACTCAAAGAAAGATAAATTCCTTCCTCAGATGAACATACAAGTAGCTCCCAAGACTCCTGAATTCAAAACAATGCGTACAGACACGAGGACAGGACTTGGCTCTGCAGTGCTAATGCAATCCCTTAACTAGCACATAATTCAGGTTTCATGATCTTCCTCTAATGCAGAATACTTAAAAGGGAAAGGAGGCATAACCACTTTCTTAAAGATTAATCAGGTTGGACACCGTAGATGTATTTTTAGATGGTCTCCCTCGTAATGGGCTATTCACCCTTCACAAGCACAGCTGACTGCTTCTCCAGTCATGCTTGTGGGTCATATTCCAAATGAGCCACAGGGGTAGGTGTAATGTTTTGGTCGGCAGCGGTTGAAATATTCTGGAATGCTGCCAGAGCTCCAAGTCAGAGCTCTGTAGAGACACCGATTAGACTCTTTCAGCTTCCACTCAGACTAAAAAAGCCAAATCTGTGAAGCTCCAAGGAGTCAAAACCACAGAAATAATCTTCTGGTCAGAAGAGAAACTTGCTGCTATTTTGCATGCTTCATTTAATAAAATATGCTCAACTGAACATATAAATTATTCATTTTGTAAAATGACTAATTTGTAATTATTCTTCCATTCCTTTCTTTCCTTAAAAACATTATTTGTGAGGCTGGCTAAATAAAATTGATTTTGAGATGGGCAATACAATTATATGCAGACAGAAAATCTCATTCAAAATTAGTCCTGAGAATGTCTTTCTTTTTTTTCCTATTCTCTAATTTTCTATAGGAAAAGTACTTAAAAACAGCCTCTAGTTCGTAACAAACAGAATGTGGAAGACAGCTGAAAAGACATGTGTGACTACCAGGCAGCACTTAAAAAGAGCTGGATGATCACAATCTGTAACAGAGATCAATATCTTGTTTGTGGTATTACCCCACTTCTGCATGATTTCAACTACTGTTTAAATTCACATAATTTACTAGGTATTTAGAGCCCAGTCTTCAGAGAAGCAGAGTACTCACACAGTTTCCAGACCACAGCTGCAGTGGTAGTAATACAAGCATGAAAACCAGACTCCAGTTTTCTGCTTTGCCTGAAGCAATTAGATATTTTTTTTTTTTCCCTCATACTGCTAGAGAGCAGCAATGAAGTGCACGTCACCTAACGATGACTATATAAAGCTCGGTTAGTAGTTTGTAATGGTTGTGTAGGCTTGCTCTACAGCCAGTGGAGAGGGATGTCACTATCACATCTTAAACAGATATTGGGTGGATGGGTTGAATCACACTGGACAACCAGCTTAAAGTAGATGCTTAACTTGGGAGATGGACAGAGTAAGACAAGATGATTCCAATATCCTATTTCATATGGCAAAGCTACTGTCGCAGAAGTAGGGACCACAAGTAATTATTTGTACTCTTTGAAAATGTTCTTAATTGTTAGACTCAAATATTACATGCTTCCTCTCAGAGGCCCTTCATTTCTGGGAGCGCCCATGTCCTGAATGATATATTTCAGGATGAGTATCAGAACGTGACCGAGAGCAACTAAGAAAACAGTCAATGCCTATGTAGAGCAGTTCCCAGTTAAAAGGACTTGATATTATTCCTACATTTCACTGTTCCTATTTCCCACATATTTCTGTCTTTAGAATGCGCATCAATATTGCAGAAGATGAAGGGGGCAAAAAAAAAAAAAAAGAAAAGAAAGATTCAGTAAAGGCATCTGTGGTGGTTTCATGCCTTTACATTGTTCTCGATCCAAAATTACAGAGACTATCAAGATGTAGTCATTAATTTTTAGAGTCAACAGAACTCTCATTTGGGTTCAGGTGGCTCTTCCAGTAGTAACTCCAGCCTCACCAGAAGGACCATCAGGAAGCCTTCATGTGGAAGGCTGTTCCTGCAAGCTCCCTTGTTCCATTCAATATCTGGAGTAGGGAGGTGGGGGCATTGATCCGAGCTAAGTGCTGTAAGCTTCACCACCACAAAAATGTATTTTGAAAAAGAAGTGTGCATACCGATGAAGGTCAGGGTTAAATGACTACGATATACGTGCCAGAGAGGTTTCACATGACCAAACAAGAAAGATGAAACTTACAGTTCAACCACATCACTTTTGTTGGGTTTTTTTGTTGTTTTGTTTAGGTTTTTTTTTTTAATTGGTGAAAGACCATAATTTGATCATGGTGGGATGCACATAGTTAACATATATATGTGGAAAACTTATTTTAAATCCAACTGACTTCAACTACTTATTATCTGTCATCCATTAACACAACTGTAAGTACTCCCACTGTCCAAGACAGAATTTTCACTGGATCTTTCCAATGCTTTATTTTTAAGTCTTAGAAATTTTCCTCATCCTTCCCTACAGAACAATGCTATGTTTTGCCGTGGACAGAGAGAAAGAGCTACAGTCCAGAAATTCATATAGGGACAAAAGCGAAATGAGTAGGTTTACATTCACTGTAATAGGGTATACACATTACCTTGAGGTAAAGCACAGATCCTAGGCTGTGATCAGACACAGTGATGGGGGTCATGCAAAGAACGAGACAGATCAGAGTAGAGAAAAAAGAAAATCCAAAACCCACCAGGACAAAGACTATTTAAACATTGCTGGACTCAAGCACAAGCCCAGGACCTTGGCCAGGAAAGTCCCCTGATGATGTGGTATCCAAGTTAGGACACAGTCAAGCACAAGCATATAGCGTGGCAGGACTGCGCTCGGGTGAAAGTCAGACCAACTAGCTTGCCTCCCAATAGGCATCTCGCTGTGCAAGTGCTCCTTCAATGTTCCAGCATGAAATCAAACAGCACAGCATCTTAGGTGTCAGTGGCTGGAGCACAAGCTTGCTGTCTACAGGTACGAGTGGAGCTCCAGCCTCCTCAGAAGCCCTGGTCCCCTCTGGTTTCATTCAGGAGCCAGAGAAGCAGGAGTGTGGCTGGTTGAACAGCTCCCACACTATGGATCAAGCTGGTTGCAAACTGGTTGGTTGTTCTTGCCAGGACCAGGACATGGGAAGCATTTTGGTAGACTCTAACGACAAGCAGATACTGAACTTCTTTATGCTGTACTCCCTTAAAACTGGATGGTTCTTCTATACCACAGTCCCACCCAAAGAACCAGCTATGACGCAATTCAACTATTATTTGCTCTTAGAAGTTCTGCCCAAATTATGTGCCTTGAATACAAATTCTGAAGGAAAAAAAGTTAATTAGCTTGCACTAAGTTTCCTTTGAGGTCTTTCTGAAAAAGACATCTTTCACTGTTGATGAGTGAGCTGAGAACTAAAACTGAAAAGGAACTAGTGTTAAGGTGTAAGGGGGGGGGTGTTTTAAAAAACCCGCACAATGCCGATTTTAAAATAATTACTGAAAATACTATATATCACGCCAATTAAAATAGTATAATAAAAATAGTATAATATTTAGTATAATTTTTCATGTAATGTTCATAAATACTGTAATTTCTTAATCTTAAAATAATTTCTGTGTTTTTCTTTCCCTTAAGTCTTAATATACAAAGAAACACCACTGCATAGTTAATCTATCCAAATTAGTTCTTGGCTAAGCTTTAAGTTGTAAAGGTCACGTAGCCCTGCATATGGCAACCTTTGGGCAACTCTGCTCCATATTGGAGGAACACTGCTGTACGTAGAACCCCTCCTTTCTTAACATATATACGTAGGTGTTTGGGGTTTTTTACCAGCTGTTACACACTTATGGAATGTGTCTGATTTGGGGCAAAGGCAGAGTTATTCTGCTGATAATGTAATCCCATATACAGTCCTGTAATCTTGAAACTATAAATCTATCTGCCTTAGATTCTGGAGACTACAGAATGCAATATTAACATTTTGAACACTTGGCACTTCATTAATACTTGATTGGCACATAACAGCAACTATTATATTAATTATACTAAAGATTATCTAGTTTTGATGTGCATATACCAACAGAAGGCTGGGTTGGTAGTCATTTTGCAGAAGCAGAATATACTTCTGGATGAATAATACTAAGAAAATGAATCGATTGTCTATTGGATATACATTTAGTTGAAGGTGGGACAAAGAGTCCTGTATTCTTGGTATACATTTCAAACATATTAGAGTGCATTTGAAGAAAGTTATCCCAATGCATCATTCTGAAGGCAACAAAGGGAGTTGCAAAATTTCGAGACATGACCCTCAAAACTCAATGAATGCACAGAACAGGATGAAAGGAAGAATCATCTTAATACTGTTCTTCCCACACCTTACTCAGTTTTGCTGCTTATCTCAGAGTCCCACAGATGTTCAAAACTGGCAGTAGCATCTTGCTTACCTTTTATTTGCATTTAAAAGGAACATGACAGTACAAAACATACGAGCTAAAGCACTTGTCAGCAAAGCAGAGTCTGAGGGTCATTTATAAATGGACATCAGCATTTGTTTCTATGTTCAAATAGCAGTCTATCAGGGCACTTGTCATTTATCAATCTCCCTTCCCACCACAGAGGATGTTCAAGACTCAAAAGTGAGGTAGGAAAGTTTGATCCCTCCCAAACTCCTAATTAAAAAAAAAAATATTACTGTCCTGGAATGCTCAATTTTAATTATCTTGGTAGAATTTTATTTCCAGAGGCCTGCATGCATGTACACTTGTGGGTGGAAGAGTGGGGAAAACAAAGGCACACACAGCCCCCAAACTGCCATTTCTGGTCTCTCTGCAAAGAAACTACGTAACCCCCTCCTTACCACCAAAACCAAACACAACAGCCAGAAGCGGCCAATAATAACTTCTAAAGGCAAATCATTTTTCAAGAATACGGATTTCAGGGAAATAACTATGTATTGCATCAGATCACTCTTATGGCCTGGATCTTTCCTGAAGTAGCTAACTGACTTCGTCCAAACAAACTGTGGTGTAATTCAGGAACTGCTGTGCAATTCATTGGTTTGTCCAGCAACCATAGGCAAAACTTCCATTTTTCTTGCATCTTACTAGACTGCTTGTGCAACTTAGCTGTTATACATACCGGTCTTCTCTTATACACTAGGTATATGAAATGTAAAAGGTTGACAACCAGAAACACAGAATTCCAGATCATTATGTCCAAGGCACAACGGTAGAGTGTAGCCCAAATGATGAACAATGCACATCCTGAAAAAATTAAAAAAAGGGAGTTAAATTTCACTGAACAATAAACACATTCATACAAAGCCATCAAGAATGTGTCCATTGGGTGTAATTACACTGAAAAGAAATATATTCTACAAGCTTTACTACAGTCAGGCTCTGTGGATCAATGCACGCACCGGTAGCATGAGCTAATCGCTACAGTGCTACAAACAGGCACCGAGAGCAGGCTGACAGCAGACTGCAGTCCTGTTGCATGGGACTGCCATACTCGAGCTACAATAATTCAGATGAGGACTGGGGAAAGCAGAAAGGTGCAGGCCCTGGTGGTCTGTTACTAAAATTAAGTAGAAATGGGATAGGGGAAAACTGTACCTTAAGTACACACACACACACAAAAAAGCAGCTCACAAAACTTTATTACTAGTATTGCATTAATTAGACAAAGAAGAACCTAGAAAAGAATGATTGCTGTTCATATCAGTACCATTCACATCTAACTAGTGAGCAGTAGTTGCACAAAAACCTCCTAAAGTCATATGCAGATATTTTTGAAAACTTAAAGGAAGCATCATTGCTGCATTTTGACAAGGTGACAGCAGGAACCTGCATTCTCTTGTATGGCAAAGAGAAAATTTCAAATGCTTACTCTTTTTTTTTTTTTTTTTTAAGTTGTTTACTTTGAAAAATGACAGTTACTTTAAAAGATAAGGCATGCTGTATGATTAAGGATTCTATTTTTAGCCTCCAAAGACAATACTTATCAACGACAGATTATGCATCAGTGAGTCTCTCCCAGATAACTGTGAGCCTACTGTCCGATAGAGATGGCTATAGAGGTCACATATATATTTTCCCTTAAGTTTCATGCAAAGACAACAAGGACAAGGTGCCAAATCAGTGACCCTTCCCTTTTTCTCCCCAAAGAGGATGCTGAATTCATGAACTCAATATTATCTATTCTGTCTGAGTTGTTGACTGGCCAGGCAGAACTTGCATAGGGATCAGAAAAATCCAAATATGGTGACTCTTGATCAGCTGGTTAATTAGACCACAAGGGATGGGAGGATACAAGGTCTAGAAGTATTGGAGAGGAGCACTATTGTGGAGGAGCACAGTGGTGGGGCAGGGTCATCAAAGCAAAGCGGACAGATCCCTAGGAACCAGGCTTCATTACTTATGCTGTCCCACCAGCTTGCAAAACTCTGATTCCGTATCTGCTCAAACTGCAACAAGACCTGCAGACCAAAGCGGCAAGCTCAGCAAATGCAGAGGGAACTACACAGACAAAGGGTCTTGCAATGCTCAGACCCTCAGTCATGGGTTTAATAAGTTATCCTATAATAGCTATAAAAAAAGAAAAGGCGAGATCATTGTAAATTCAACCATAGAAGTTCTACCATAGAACAGACCCACACTATTGTATGAATAACCATTCTCACTTAAAAATATTTAAGCATGCTCTGTGTTGCAATACACTCGGGTTTGTCTTTCTTACGCTGCAATGACTCACTACTCCTTCTCCTTTGATCACAAAAACCTTGTCCCACACAAAGTACAGGGGCTTTGAAAGCACTGTGGGACTGCAAGAGCGTTACAAATGAAACCACACTTGCTCAGTCTCAAGTATGCCAAATTTAGTTTTTTCTCTGAAGTCAAATTTTGGTGTTGCAAGATGTCTACAGTGCTGGAGGAAATATGACTGACTTCAGGAGAAGACGGACTGCACTCCTCAATCAAAAGCCTGCGCTTCTAAATCAGCAATGAAAATAAGGCTGGTGACCCACAAGTGTCACACGTTTGAACCCACATTTAAAGAACACGTGGGCCAACATCAAGCTTCTCAAGGAAAACCTCACCTACTGCAGACATACTAAGTCAGTGCACTAGCCAATACACAATCCCAGTACTTACTTGAAACAACTTAACTATGATTTGGAATTTAATGAATTTTAAGCAGCCAGTGACAGCTGAAGTAAATGGGGTCCACTTGTTTTCAAGTTGACATTTTCATAGATTTGAAATGGTCACTTACATTTCTGGGAAATTTTGAGAGCCTAGGCACATATAATCTTTCCAGAAAAGGTATGTCAGGGTCAGAACAGACCCCCACTTACACCAAAAATGCCTTCAGCAGAGTACAACCACCATGAATATGGGCTGTAATTTCACCATAACCTGAAGGGACCAGCTCTGTAATGGTCACAAACTGCTATTTCTGTCACAGGAAGGTCGCAAATGTCTCCAGAATAATTCTCCTACCTATGGTGAGCAGGCCTCGCAGAAAAATCATATGAAGGTTCAGAGTAGTTGGAATAACCAGTCCAACTGCAAAGCAAATATTTGCCATGTGGAAAACAAGATGGTGAATCTCCTTCCAGTTTTCACATGCAGTCTCATTAAAAGGCACAAGGGTGGCATTTTTTAAGTCTGGAATAAAACCTAGTGGAGTAACAGGGAGTAGGCTCATTGCTGTAGTATTCATCTTGGAGATTCCTACAATGAGAGAGAGGAGAGAAAAAAAAAATCACTGTACATTAAACTGAAATATATTATACATAAACATGGATTTTGGGGTCATTTTCTCTCTTCCCAGGATATACTTTCCAAAATCATTCATGGGAAAAAAAAAATTTAAAAAAAATCTACAAATGCTTTAAAAGGGTAAGTTAGATCTATAGTTCAGCAATGCTTTACTACCTCTTTCACCTAAGTCCTAGGCTTGAAGAATGGTACATTTCAAAATTTGGACCACATGCACCTGAACAACACTGCTTGAACCCTGGCTACAGTGACTGTCATTGCTCAGTACAACATCCTATGTATTCTTCCTAGTCTTACACAAATAAAAATCACATTTCAGTCTACCATTTATTGAATGGGTCCACGATCTTCGGCAAAGTAAAATATTTAAGAGAACTTAACAACCTAGATGAGAAATGAAAGAAAAAAAGGGGGGGGAAAAAAAAAAAAAAAAGGCTTATGTAATGTAAGTCTCCTTTATGGCATACAAAGTTGTTCTTCTAAATAAGGAATGGAAGGTCTTAAAAAAGGAGCACGTGCTGTTCGGGTGATTAAAAAAGAAGCAGCCAACAAACGATACAAAAATCAAACCTCAAAGACAGTCTCAACTTCGGGCTTTCTTGCAGTATTTGCAGGATCATTTGGAGGTCTCCTAAGTCACATATCATCTTGCTCACATTAACCAGAGTAGGCAAAAAAACCCCAAACCACTTTTGAGAACAGTAAATAAAAACTACCATTTCTCCTCCTAGTTGATCAGATGCTACCAAATCAGAAAGGGAGATGCCCAGGCTGCTAAGTTATGACAAGGCTGCCAGTCTTTCAGCAAAATCACTTGGTCTACCCCATATGAGCGAGCTTGCCACACCTTTGGTTGTTTGTGGAACTCTGGAGAAAACAAGGCAGTTAAAAAAGCTGATTTCTAATCTAAAAATAAATAGGGTTTGTTGTAGTCATAAATCCAGCATATTTTCCTTTCACACCAATTAAAAGGAGAAAATACATACATATCTGTGGGCAAATATCTTCCCAACACAAAGTAAAAAATTCCTATTAAAACCAAACTGAAATATTTCAAGACACTACCTTTAAAATCTTAAAAGCTGGTGTCTCTAGGGAACTGCAGTCAGTGTTACAAGCACTCCAGAAGGTCTTCTCAACCCAGAGCAGTTCCCTGCTGGAGGAACATGACTGCGGCTAGACGGGCTGTCAGAAACACAGGGGAACCCTGCTTCCAGCGAGGCACGTATGGTCCCCCACCGCCGCAGCGGTAGAGGTTATATGGAGCTCTGCTTGAGTCTTGTTAATGAAATATATGCACGTATCACTGAGCAAACAGGCTCCGTAACATAGAACACAGCGGGATTTGCATTCAAGTTAATTCCAAAGGGACAGTGCACATCCCTGCCGTGTGTGCTTACTAACTGTCATGTAGCTCATCAGCTCAGCAGACAATTTTGAGTCACGGTTAACACACTCAGTATTTCCTGCAGACTGGAATACACTCAGCATCTCTCTGTTACTTGAGAGTGCTTCTCGGGCTGTGAAGTAATTATGAGGTGCTTCACCCATTCTTTTTATTATTCCCTCCCCCCCATCAACTTGTGTACACTGCATAAGCAAGCTGGACAATTTCTGAAATTAATCAGCCTTTTTAAGCCCCTTTTTAAAGCAGCAGGAAGAAAGAAAGAAAGAAAACCTCAACCCTCTGTTAGTTCTCCTTCTGATGCCCAGAGCCTGCCACAGCTAAGGCATGCTACAGAACATGCAGAGGCATCTTGCAGGATCCAACACTAGCATGGACATAGTGCTATCCATACCTGAATAGAAATGATTTTCCAAGAAAAAAACCCGTATCTAATTCTTACCAAAATACATAATTCACTTATTTCTTAAAAGCTCACTTTCTTCTTTTCATTCCTACATTAGTTATTTACAGATGTTATTTAACATGGGGTGGGGTTTCTTTGGCATAAACAAATTCTACACTAAATTGTCACCAATAATCACAGTGCCCAAGCAAATTCACCATCCAGGTATCATGCGAGCACATCCAAATGTGCTCCTATTTTCTTTCAGCATTTTCACATGAATTTAGCACCAGAGCCACGAGCGCAGTTCCACTGCCCCGACAAAGCCGCTCACACACGGAGCAAAAGTGCAAGCCCTGGCGCTTTACTGAGCGCATGAACAGAAAATAATTGCTAACTGGATAACTGTGTTTGTGCTCATCTCACACACATCTCATCATCGTGCTCCTGTTGTTTTCAAACAATATAGGTGCCCTACATTGCAGCAAGCAGGATCTCTAGGTCTTTTGCAAAAAGTTGTCCGCCAGTTTTCTATATTTCCCTGCCAAGTCATCTGCCAATAAAAGCACCACTGAACATGCCAACAGATTGAGTAAAAGACAACCAAGCTCACATACAGAATCAGCCCTAAGTCCATCAACTCATTTCAAGATCAAAACGGGCTGCAAAAAGTAACTTCAGCTGCATCGGATTACAAATAGACAAAGCTTTCCAGATGTTTGATTTTTTTAACAGCAAAATTTTGTACGGCATTGCTGGGAGACTAGAGGCTGCCTTACTCTGTAAGACTTGGCTGTAAAGCTTCACACATTTGAAGACTGGAAAACCAACGAGCCAAATCAACTCTACACCACGTGCCAATCTCATCCTCCTCACAACCCAGCCAAAACACCGCTCCCCTCGCTAGCCACAGAGGCTGATGCCACAGCCCACCAGCCATAAACTATCATAACGGGAAGGTGTTTCTCCAAGCGTTGACCAAGTCATTTACAGCCTTTGACAATAAGAGAGTCCACAGTTGTAACATGTTCAACGCTTTTGAAAGCCTGGGCCACCTACTTGGCTGCCTAAATTACAGCCTAGGAACCTAAATCTAGCCCCCTCCATTTTTTATAAGCTTTGTCTTTCATACGTTGAAGTCTTTACATGATGACATTTGAACTCAACTTCCTACTCACAAATAAACATCGGAGCACCGCTAACGTACTGGGGAACAGTGGAAAGCTGCTGAATTTCTCTGTCAAGATGGTATTTTAAAGCTGGCAGAAATAGATTGATGCTGTCCACAGAATGACACAAGGACAGACTGACACCAGCTCTGAAGGAGAGCTGCCCAGGAATTTCAACGAGGGAGCCTGCTCGAGCACCAACAACACAGGCAGGCAGGGTTATAAGCTCTAACCTAAAACGTTTGCCCACAGGTAACGCCAGGAAGACAAACATTCAAACTAATAGCTCTGTAATTTTAGATCAATTCGTTAGTCCTAATGTCTACTGTTGACAAATAACATCGAAGGATTAGCAAAAAAAAAAAAAATAAATAAATCTGCTGTTCAACAGATGAACATGCAATTCTCATTTCCTACCCTCTGCTCTCTCAGAGTCAAAAATTAATTCTGGAAGTACAGAATCAGACCTTTAAAACTTTAATTTAGGGTTATGTGTCCTCAGGATTATTGAAGTTTTCAATACATGAAGACACGTAGTAACATGGGAAGCTAAAAATGCAACCAACATGGTCAAATAATTTTGGAAAAATTGGGGAAATAGCATCAACTGAAACGAAAACTTTATGGAGCATAAGACAAATAATTAAAAGAATATTTTTAATATTGAGTAAAGTAATTTTTCCTTCATATGGCCTCAGTTTTACCAAACTAAGAGTTTGAAAAGTCAGATGATTGAAAATTCAACCCAATTTATTGACCAAACAGGAAAAAAATAACAAATGTCAGAACAAACTTAAAGTGACATTTTAACATTAAATTTATCAGAAATTAGTATTGTTAACAACAAAGCCTATATTTTTTTTTTTTTGTGCATTAATTTGATAGAAAGTTAAGGTGACAGGTCATGTTTTTAGGTCTGAAAATACAAATTCTCTAAATGTTAATGAGGTGAACTTACTCTAGGGTTTTTCTATGCTGAGGACATCTTTATACAAGAGGCCAAACTTCTGAAAGCCGTTCCCTAAAGTATTTAGTCCCTAAATCTTCAGACACAAAGATGCCTTAAAAAAAAAGGCGGGGGGGGGAGCTTTTTACCCACACAATGCTCAGAGAAGGCAGATGTAGAAGAAACTTTTAGAACAACTGGTTCCAGGAGGAGAGCAGGTCAGCCAAGCTGATATGGGACAGTGCAGAATGTCCCACTCACATCATCATGCACTTTATTGAGATTATTTGTATCCCACAGCTTTACTGTTCAACGTTATTCAAGTGAGCTTCTTAAAGCTTTGCACGAGTACGTTTGTGTAACTTTACAGTCATCAAAACTTTAGAGTCCATCATTTATGTAGATGGATTTTGTGAGTCTAAAGAAAAAAAAAATGGGGGATCAAGCTTTTTTTTTTTTTTTTAAATCATACCTGCAGAACTTTAACTAATTTTCTGTGGTCTTGTAGCACAAAAGTTGCATAAATAATTTGGACAATTTCTTTGCTATTCTGAGCTGAAGACAAAGTATTAGTGCTACCATAATTAGGTTAATTACAGCTTAAGTTACCCATTTCCTTTTTAAAATGAAGTAGGAGTGAATGGGAAAGTGGATGCGAAAAGACTATTTCAATATGCTCTTTGGGGCAAGTTTGTTTCCATGAATCTGTGTCATTAACTACACAAATTTGTTAAGTCTCACTCTACTCTTTACTCTAGACTAAATTTAAGGGTGTTTTCATTCTGCATAGTTAACAAAAAAATCCATACCATGAGAAATACCCTTACGTGTGCTCAATGTAAGGGCAGCCGAGCCATGCTGTGGCAGCAGAAGTTTATTAACCACAGAGGAGCTGGCTCCACATTTAGGTGATACCACACACTGACACGCAGCACTCCCCAGTCCAGGGACGCAGCCACCGCTGCCACCCCACTTCTCCCCCTCCCTCCACAGCACCAGTTTAGCCCACAATGTACCAACACAAAACACAAGGTTTATACAAAAAAA